GCCGGAGGGTTTGGGGGGGTGGGGGGCTGAGGTGAGCGGGAGGGATCAGGGTGCTGCCAGAGGAGTGGGCGAAAAGCCTGGTGGGCACAACATGCGCTTGCTGCAGCTGGGACGACGCCAGCTGGCACAAAGCCAGCGTTGTTGAGGTTAACATGCGGGCGGCGTGTGGCGTACGAAGAGTGGAGGGCAGCGTGAATCCCCCCAAAGGCCCCCAGGCGCGGCCACCTGGAAGGCGTTCTTGATGAGTGACGCGCGCGGCAGCCAGCGCAGCAGCAGGGGCACATTGTCAGCCTGCGCGCAGCGGCGGAAGGGTGCGGGCAGGCGTGAGATGTGGGGGAATGCTGGTGGCAGCGACACGGTGGTGCAGCGCAGGGCACAGGCGCCCATGGGTTGGCTGATGGCTCGGGCTAAGTGGAAGGTGCACGCCTCGAAGGCGCGGCGCTGACGACCATCGCGCATTGAAAGCAGGGATGCAAGCAGGCAGCTGCTGGTTGCTCAAAGCCGCCAAAAGCAAAAAATTCTTTTCCCTTGCCCTGCCCCAGGCGTTGACCAGGTCTCACGTTGACGTAGAGGCCCCCAAACACGATGTGGATGAGGATCACCGCCGGGCCGATGGCCACCGCAGCCTGAATACACAAGGGGAGGTGACGAGGCAAAGCATCAGCAGCGGTTGCTGAGGGCGCAGCGGGCGTGCCGGCCGCACGAGGGATGACGGAGTGCCTGTTTTATCGAGAGTCATTGCGGCTGGAGCAAATTAAGGTATTATCAAATCACTGGGTCGTGTTCCAAGTGGGAGAGAGACAGGAAAACTTGAGCAGGCCGCACACTCAACGGATGGCCCCTGCAGAGCACCCCGCGCGCCTCTGTGCTGGGTGCCACGGCGCCGACTGCCAGCCCGAGGGCCGAAGCGCTGAAGCTCTCGAGGGTGAGGATTCCCAGGAACTTGGCGTACCTGTAGATCAGGCCAGATCATGAGATCAGATCAGAGGCGAATAGACCAAATCAAGATTAAATGGCAACCGCCGTACTTCAATGGGTATGCGCAGGCTGGCGGGGGCGCCTGCGCTCGTGGCGGCGAGCGCGAGCGTCTCAGCAGGCGGCTGGATGCAACTGCAGTCCAAAACGCGCTGCGCCTCAAAGTTTTGGCGCCCTCCGACGCGCCTGACGGGGTTGGGGTTGAGGCCGCAGAGGGGGTAGACCAGGGAGCCAAAGACCAGGGGGAAGAAGGCCCCCACGGGCAGCTCGGCCAGCAGCTTGGCCCTGGGGTTGGTGCAGAGGCAGGGGCAGGGGTTGGCATTGGGTGGGGCAGGGGTACAGGTCGATTGGGGGTGGGGCAAAGG